AAGATAAAAAGTAAAGCCTCAGTTTCTGGTTTTATACATAACTTCTGCATTCCTTGTGAGGGAATAAGACAAATGAATAAAGAGTTTTAAATAATTCCAGTTAGGGGCGCCTGGGTGACTCAGTAGGTTAAGCATCCAACCTAGGCTCAGCTCATGGTCTTGTGGTTCGTGAGTTCAAGCCCCATGCTGGGCTCAGTGATGATTGCTCAGATACTGGAGCCTGCTTCAGATTCTGTGTCTCCCTCCCTCTCTGCTCCTCCCCTACTCGTGCTCTGCCTCTCCCTCTCAAAAATAAACATTAAAAAAATGTTTTTAATAATTTGAATTAATGCAATTTAAGTTACTGGGAGGGCAAATAAATCAGCAATAAACCTAAAACATCATTTCTCCAGTTTCTCATTTTAAAAAGAAAACGGCCTTTAAAGTTAAAATATCATAAATAAAAATCAACAAATAAGAAAATAGTCTTCAAGCTAATTTCAAAATAAGGATTGTACTAAAATGTTACCAGCTCATTAAAGAAATGGTATTTTCAATTTAGGTTAGCATTACTTAAAAGTACTGTTATATAATATAGTAAAATCTGACAACTACCTAAGCTTAAAACCCAAGAAATACAGGGGAAAATGTACACGCCTAAATTCTCAAAACTAAAGAAGCACCAAGCAAACATACTCTTCAATACATTTAAACACAAGTTATGACACATCTGTTTTGAAATTTAAAAATTAATAATCTTGCATTTTAATGCCAATAGACAAATCATATAAGCTAGTTTTTTTTTTTTTTATCTCTGAACACCAAAAATACATTTCTCTCTGACCCCTAACCTATGACCTTTCTCAGATTTGAACATACAGTAAAAGAAAAAAACACTTAAAAATCTCTGATTATTGTACACCAGGGAATGTTTTGTTTTTTAAAATTTGTGACAAACTCAAATGAGATAGAGAAGCAAAGGTCTCAAGAGATTAATAGTTAACATTTCAAATTTACTATGGACCATGAAGACTACTTATAAAATATGATTAAAAGCTAAAATAATGGTACTATTACTATGATGACAATAATGATAATTTATTAAGTCCACTCGTGAGGCCAGAAACTAGCTAAACATTTTGCAGAATCCAATCTTTAAAACATTACAGGCAGGTATTATACCCTTTTTCCAAATTGGGAAAAACTGAGGTACTGTGTTTAAAGGAGGTGTCAAAAATTATAAAACTTAACAGAGTAAAGAACAAAACCCAGATTTGTCTGTGTTCAAAGCAAGTGTACTCACCCCATGTGCTATAATATAGGATTTATTGTATAATACTAATAGAAAGGAAGGATAGGAATTTAGATATCTCTATAGCTCTTTCTCAAAGGAGGTGTAAATAATAACTCTGTGGATGGGAAAAAAATTATAAATAACTATTCTTGCAACAAAGAAACAAGTATGCTAAGTCATATATATAGGAATATGCTTCATGATGAAATAGCATGCCCCAGTTTTAATAAAATATTTACACACATTCATATACAAAGAGACCAAAAATAAAGGGCAGTGGGTCATCCTGTGGTAGAGAAATAATAAAAACATAAAAACTCTCCACTGGACTAGTTTTACCATATTTTTATTTTTTAATTTTTTTAATGTTTGTTTATTTTTGAGAGAGAGAAGTGAGGGAGGAACAGAGAGAGAGAGACAGAGAGACAGAGAGACAGAGAGAGACAGAGAGAGACACAGAATCTGAAGCAGGGTCCAGACTCTGAGCTGTCAGCACAGACACTGATGTGGGGCTCAAACTCATAAACCATGAGATCATGACCTAAAGTTTGATGCTTAACCAACTGAGCCACCCAGGCATCCCTACCATATTTTTTCAATACATTAAGATGTGCAACCTTGAGGACATTATGCTAAGTGAAATAAACCAGTAACAAAAATACAAATACTATATGATCCCACTTACATGAGGTATTTAAGTAGTCAAGTTCACAGAATCAAAGTGGAATGGCAGTTATTAGGGGCTGTGGGGAAAATGGGGAGTTCTTAATGGGTATAGAGTTTCAGTTTTACAAAACGAAAGAGTTCTGTAGATGTGTTGCACAACAAATTGAATATACTTAACGCTATTGAACTGTGTAACTTTAAAATGGTTAGGATGGGGAAAAATAAAGGTTTTGTAGTAATACATAAATAGATACATATCAATAGAATTAAAAATTAAAATTTTATTTCCTCAATCAGTAGCCACAGTTCAATTGCTCAACAGCTGTATGTAGCCATTCAAGACAGCATGGATACAACATTTTCTCACAAAAATTTCTGTGGATCACAGTATGCATACTGAATCACAGTATGCAGAAACAGACCCAAATTCATATGGGAATTTGTATTCAATACTGAATCTGTGTGATAAAGGTAGCACTTCAAATCAGTGGGGAAAGAATTATTGAGTAAATAGTATTGGGACGATTTGTGAGCCTGGGGGAGAACAAAGAAGAAGGGAATAAAGATAAAGCCATATCTTAGCTCCTACTCAAAAGAAATTCTGGATGAATCAAAGATTTGTACTTAAAAAGTGAAATGATAAATGTATTAACACATAATTCTAATTAAGAAAGGCCTTCCCAAACAGAATGGAAAGCCAGAGCACAAACACTCAGAAGATCTTCTTTTTAGGAAAATAAAAAACTTTACAAGAAGAAAGCCTAGACAACTGGAAAGGGGGGTGGAGGGGTGTGGTGTGTTCCATTTTCTCAATCAATTGAAAAACGTAACTCAGTTGAAAAAAGTAAACTGAAAGTACCAATATACATAGGAAAAAACTGCTCAATTTTACTTGCAATTTAAATATTCTATTAAAAATTACATTTTCAACCATCTAAGGGCAAAGATAATCTGTGTTAATGTTAAATAGGAACTAATGGATTTAAAAACTGATACAACTTATTCAGAGGGTCATTTTTAAATATGTAACAAAAATCAAAAGCAACAAACAATATTTATGGATAAAATGATACTGAGTCTAGAACTGACTAAAATAACCTGAGGAAGGGGCACCTGGGTAGCTCCGTAGGTTAAATGTCTGACTCTTGATTTCAGTTCAAGTCATGATCTCATGGTTCATGAGTTTGAGCCCCATGTCAGGCTCTATGTTAACAGTGAGGAGCCTGCTTGGGATTCTCTCTCTCTCTCACTCTCGCTCTCTGCCCTTCCCTCCCATTCCCCACACATGCTCACTCTCTAAATAAATAAATAAACTTAAAAAAAAAAAATAACCTGAGGTATAAAAAACCAGAGAAAGTTGGTTCAGATTTAAATAAGACTGGGTATACATTGATAGTAGGTGTACCAGAGTGGTGAGTATATGGGGGGGATTCATTTATTTTTTGTGTGTTTGAATTTTTCCAAAAAGTTTTTCATGTTATGCATAGCCTTTAAACCAGGAATTCCATTGTTAGGAATTTAGCCTACAGTTACATTATACAATGTAAGTACAAGAATGTTCTGGAAGAAAACTAAATTTCCATTACAGAATGGGTTGAGTAAATTATGTTTATCTACACATAGTAATGTCCTATACCTTTAAAAAGTATGGAGGTCAATTATGTGACGGAGATTACAGAAAAGGGGAAAAAACATCAAGGGCAGAACAATAGGCATAGTCTGATCACAATTAAGTAAAAACAAAATCAAGCACGTGGATCTGTGAACACCCATAAGATACATGTGCATATTCATAATAAATTTTTAGAAGGCTATGTCAAAAATCTTAATAATGGTTTCGTCTGGTTGGGCAGGAGACGAGGAACTAGAAATCTGTGAGGAGGGACACTTATTTTTCAAACATTTTTTATACTGTGATTTTTTGGGGGACCTGTGAACATATTGCATTCATTACATTTATAATGAAAAACAACTAGATTTTTTAAATCCTTCCTCTACTGAGATGATTGTCATTTATTTAGGAACTGTCAATGTTCAGGGTATATGTTAGGGAGGAGCTGGTCTCAAAGCATATTTAAATTTTACAGAGCAAAACAGATGAGCCATAGCTCTCCTATTGCTGACCCTACCTCAGTGGTACCTGTATCTCACCCTGATGATTGATCCACAAATCTAACATTACATCAAATAATTGTTCTAGAGATGTAGGTCAGCTCCTTTCTTGGTGCTAATCAAACAATTAACAATTTTTATTGAGTATGTAAGTTCTGTGGAGGAATACAAATGAATAGGATTATATCTGCTCAAAAAGTTTAAAATCTTGCAAAGAAAAAATATCCATCATATAAAGAACAGAAAAGAATCTGCCATGCAAACATATTATGTACTGAGACAAGAAGTCAATGAAGGAATGCGTAGTTGGGGTTCATGGAAGAAAAAAGATGGCAGATTTGATCTTAAGATACGAACTGGGGGCATCTGGGTGGCTCAGTTGGTTGAACATCTGAGTTCGGGTCAGGTCATGATCTCATAGTTCATGAGTTGGAGCCCCACATCTGGATCTCTGCTGTCACTGCAGAGCCTGCTGCAGATCCTCTGTCTTCCTCTCTCTCTGCCCCTTCCCCACTCATGCGGGGTTGGTCTCTCTCTCTCTCAAAAATAAATAAATATTTTTTTTAAAAAACTTAAGAAAAAAAGATATGAACTCGATTTAGATATACAGTAGGAAGAGGATTATCTAAGACCAGTGGAAAGAATGCACAGAAATAAAAAACTGAGATAATGTGACTCATTATGAGTAGAGACGGGGGTGGGTGGAGGGAAAAGGAAGAAGTATAAAATAAGTAATCAAGAGGAGTAAAGTTCAAGGTGATATATATCCTAAAAAAACAGGCAAAGTTAATATTTTATAAAATAGGCAAAGGAGAGTTTTAACAAGCATTTGGCAGCACCGGCATGCAAGGTAGGATAAACTATGTACTTGTCTTTGCTTCCTTTTGGCTTGCTTTCTCGACATGAAAAATAAAATAACAAACATTACTTTAATACCTCACTTCCAGACCCAGATTCTAGTGGTCTCTTCTTTCTTGGTCCAATGGCTGCAAGAGCTGTGAGGTTAGCATCTCTATGCTGTATCTGCGCAAGCTCCAACTGTTGTAACTAGAAGATGGAACAACAACAACAACAAAAAAGTCAATGTTTTCAGAGTCATGCTCAGAAGGAGGAGGAAACTGATCATTAAGCCTATTTCTGTGTTCTTTACCAAATAAGTTACAGTATAAAATAGATGATAAATTCCCCTAACAGTCAAGAGCACATCATTTCCTAATGCCTTTACTCCAACAAACTCTTTAGTCCTGAATCTCTAAACAATAAGAGGCAGAATTTAGGTAAGGAAGAAGTATAGAATAGAAGAAAAGCCAGAAAAAAAAGGGCATCTAGTGCTTAATCTATCCTTAGTTTAATCACAGGTAAGAAATACCTGAAGAATAAATTGAACAGTAAATTGGAGAGAAACTGGCCACACTATAGTCAACTTTTTCAAAATAAAAGTTACTTGAAAATAAAGACAGTTTTTGTAAATTATAGGAAAGAGTTCTATGCTGTATGGTTTACAAACTACTTCCTTAAAAATTTACTCATTTAAGTCTTACAACCACATTAAAAAGTATAATAGGATATGAAAGTTATACATATATGTACCATGTACCATCTTTTTTTTTTTTTTACTAAGGAAGACATGCCCTAAGAGCTTAGAAAAACTTCATAAAGGTTACATAAATAAATAAATAAGTGGTAGAAACAGAACTCAGAGCCAAGTGTTCTTATTACAAGCCCTTTCTATAGATCACACTTTCACATGGATTTACTCTATATTTATCTTCATGCTAAAAACTGAAAGTACTATTTTGTTGTAGAGTTTTTATCATAATTAACCCAGAATATCCAAATCTACAAGATATAATTATTTACTATGTGGGTACTCATGAAAGGTGCTCATGAAAGATGCCCCATTAAAAGACAGATAAATAAGACATTAGAACTGTAAAATAAATACATGAAACCATAGTATCATTTCACAAGGGCAGGTGAGTGTCAAATGGTATTTCAGAAAGAAAAGAAAAGAAAAGAAAAGAAAAGAAAAGAAAAGAAAAGAAAAGAAAAGAAAAGAAAAGAAAAGAAAAAGAGAAAGGAAAGAGAAAAGAGAAGAGAAGAGAAGAGAAGAGAAGAGAAGAAAAGAAAAGAAAAGAAAAGAAAAGAAAAGAAAAGAAAAGAAAAGAAAAGAAAAGAAAAGAAAAGAAAACCAAGTCAAAATAAAACATCACTACGAGGTCCTTAAGCTTCTCCAGAAGAAGAAGAACGTTCAGTTACCATCAAAATCTTATTACTATGGAGAGAAATGAATAAAGAACCTGCCACTGGTTTCTAAACAAATATTCAAACAATATCAGGCTCTAAGATAGCCAATTGAAAGTAACCTGTTGAGGAACCCTATACACACACATTGAACATTCTTTAAAAAGAACATTGACCAGGGTACCTGGGTGGCTCAGTCGGTTAAGCTTTAGACTTCAGCTCATGATCTCACAGTTTGTGAGTTTGAGCTCAGCACTGGGCTCTGTGCTAACAGCTCAGAGCCTGGACCCTGCTTCAGATTCTGTTTCCTTCTCTCTCTGCCCTTTCCTGGCTTGTGCTCTGTCTCTCTCAAAAATAAACATCAAAAATAATTTTTTTTAAAAGAGAATTGACCAAATTTTGAACATATTAAAAAAAGAGCAGGATGAAAATAGTAAAGTTTGTGGTGAAATAGGCAGTCTCAAGGAGATACAAAGTAAAGACCACTTCAGGATATTTTATAGTATTAGAGGAAAGACCAAAAATAATCCCTAGGTAACTGAGTCTTTAGTAAAGCAGAAAACATAACTAAAAATAAAAAAAAAAAAAAATTAACTAAGAATCATTCTCCATTTGCTTTTCACAAATTACAGGGAAGAAAACCCTCTTTTAAACTGTAGTTTTACACACACACACACACACACACACACACACACACACACACACATTGCTAAAAAACTGTTTTCAGGGGTTGTAAACTGTCCTTTGTTGATGCTGGCCTTTTAAAAAGTATAGATAGTTTCAGAGTCTGATGCTGTCATAATCTGGAACTTCAGGTGACAAAATGCGATTTTAATTAATCTACCCTGCAGCACAAATCAAACAATCAGCTATATTTTTTAAGTCTTTCCCTGGAGAAAATTAGCATCTGCAAGATAGTCACAACAAATAAAAAGTTTTTAAATTGACCTCTGTCATCAAAATTCCCTACCTATGTAGTAAAACATTTTCTCCCACTCTACAAAGTATACTTTGGTTTTCTGAAATCTCACATGTCTTAAGACAGAACACCCAAAACAGGTCCTTTAAAAAAAAAAAAAAAAGAACCTGACAAATTAGACTTCATACAAATTAGAAACATTCTTGCACTACAAAAGACATGGTTAAGAGAACAAAAAAACCACACTATTTATATTTAATTTCTCTATTTTTCTTTTTGTTGCCTTATTGTCTGGGCAATATAACACTGAGTAATAGTGATGAAAACAGACATCCTTGCCTTTTTCCTAATCTCTGGAAGAAAGCATTCAGTCATTTCATCATTAAGAATAATGTTAATAGTACGGTTTCAATAGTTGCACTTTATCAGGTTAAGGAAGTCCTCTTCATTCCTAGATTTTTGAGAGTTATTCTTATTAATACATATTGAAATCCATCTAATGTATTTCTGCATTAATTGATATGATCTTTCTTAGATTGTTAATATGGTAGATTACATTCACTGATTTTTTAATATTAACACAGCTTTGCATTCCTGGGGGGGTAAACTCCACTTGGTCATGATATATTATTTTTATACAATGCTATATTTGATTTGCTAATATTTTGTTGAAGATGTTTACTTCTATGTTCACAAAGGATACTGAAATGTTTTCCTATTTTGTAATGTTTTTCTGGTTAGTTATCAGGATAATACTGGTCTCATAAAATGAACTGGAAGAGTTCCTAACTCTTCTGTTTCCTGAAAGAAATTGTGGAGACACAGTATTAATTCTTCTATAAATTTTTGGGAGAATTTACTAATAAGTAAAATGATCTAAGCCTGGAGATTTCTTCATTGAAAGGTTTTAACTATAAATTAACTTTAATAATTACAAAACTACTGAGGTTAGCTACCTCACTTGGCTAAGTTTTGACAGATGGTGCTTTTGAAAAAAACTGGTCATTTCATCTAAGTTGTTGAACTACTTGCATGGAGTTGTTCTTTTGTATTCCCTTACCCTGCAGGGTCTGTAGTGATTTCCACCTCTTTTTTCCTGGTATTGGTGATTTACATCTTTTTTCTTTCTCAGTCTAATTAGAGATTTGTCAATTTTATCATAAAAGAACTAGCTTTTGGTTTTATTGTCTCTATTTTTTTCTTTTGTTCTCAAAGTCATTGATTTCTGCTTTTATCTTTATTATTTACCTTCTTCTGCTTGCTTTGGATGTATATTGCTCTCCTTTTACCAGTTTCTTAAGATAAAAGCTTAGATTATTAATTTGAGACCTTTCTTCTTCTCTAACATAAGCATTCTTTCTATCCTTTTACTTTTACCTACATCATTACATTTGAAATGAGTCTCTTTGTAAACATATAATTTAGTCATGGTTTTGAAATCCATTCTGACAATCTCTATATTTTAACTGGTATATTTAGACCATTTACACTTAATAGAACAACTTAGATGTTTTTGGATTTAGGTCTACCATTTTATTATTTCTTTTCTGTTTGTTCCTTCAGTTTTTCATTTCTGTTTCCCTTTTCCTACTTCTTTTGGGTTATCTGAACTTTAAATATTTCACTTTAATTTACCTATTGTTTTTTACTATATCCATAGATTTTTTTTTTAAGTGGCGGCTTTAGAAATTACAGTATACTTACTTAAAATTTCAGTCTACTTAGCGGAGCGCCTGGGTGGCTCAGTCAGTTAAGCGTCCAACTTTGGCTCAGGTCATGATCTCACGGCTCGTGAGTTCGAGCCCCGCGTCAGGCTCTGTGCTGACAGCTCAGAGCCTGGAGCCTGTTTCAGATTCTGTGTCTCCCTCTCTCTCTCTGACCCTCCCCCGTTCATGCTCTGTCTCTGTCTCAAAAGTAAATAAACGTTTAAAAAAAAAAATTAAAATTTCAGTCTACTTAGAATCCATAATTTACCAATTCAAGTGGAATACAGATACCTTATATCCTTTTACTCCCCACACTTTGTTATAATTTTCTTATATATTACATATGTATACACTGAAAATCCCTGACAATGTTAGAATTTTTATTTTTAATATTTTAAAAAGCTTAAAAGCAGACTATATACCATTTCTGTTGCTTTTTCTTAATTCCTAATGTTTAAAATTTTCCTTTGGTATCATTTTCACTTCATTCTGAAGAACTTCAATTTCCTTAAGCATTTTTTTTTTT